GTGTGTGTGTGTGTGAGAGAGAGAGAGAGAGAGAGAGAGAGAGAGAGAGAGAGAGAGAGAGATGTATGTATAGATATCAGAGAGGCAAAGTGGTCATAAACACCCATCTCTAATCCAGAAGCTATCTCCAAATGATAACTGCTTGCAAAAGGCAAAAAAAATTTTTTTTCTCCAATGGATTCCCACTGGGTATACAAACCATACTCCAGGGCAGGCCCCATGCCCAGCAGAGATGGGCAACACAAAAGGAACTCAGTGGCAGTTTTGGAGGTTCTCTGTCTCATGATACTCGGTTAGAGTTTCTTTTTCCTTGTAGGTCCTTGTTGTACATATTATGATGTCCAGTTTTGTGTTTCTATGGGTTTCCTCGGTGTGTGAATTTGTGTGTCTCTGCATCTATGTGTTTTTGAGCTTTTTCTTTGGTTTGTTTGTTTTTGTCTTATTCTTGTTTATTATTATTATTATTATTTTTGTTAGATGCCCGTCTGTACTCCAGTGAAAGAGAGACAGAAAGGGTGTGGGTTTGGGTGGGTGAGGAAGTGGGGAGGATCTGGAAGAGTTGAGGGAAGGGAAACTGTCATCAGAATATGGTATCTGATTAAAAAAAACTATTTTCAATAAAAATAAATATACTTTTTGTTTCTCAAAAACCAACGCCCTCCCCAAATCATGGACCCTGTACCTACATCAGAGTGGAACACAGAGAGCTTTTAAAGAGGAGAAGTACATTGGAAGGAGAAAGGAAGAAATGTAGCTAGGATCCAGACTGCCTGTAAAATAGTTGAAGTCCAAGAAGAGAGAAAAAATGGTCACACCATCAGTACTGGAAGACATGAATCTTAAAAAAAAAAAGATGAGAACAAGCAAACAAACAAACGAACGAACGAACGAACGAACGAACGAACGAACGAACGAACGAACGAACGAACGAGCGAGCCTAGAGTCTCAGGGAGATTTCCGAATCCCAACACAAAGAATGACTAGAAATTCAAACCCACACATGACACAGTAAAATGTTAAATAATAAACAAAGCATGCATCCCTCTAAGAAGGCTACTCTTTTAGGAAAAATAATTCAAAAGAAGTTTTAACAATAGGAAGAGAACCAGGAAGGAATGTAACCACACCTTCCTAATTTTGAAGGAATAGCTTCCAGCTTTCAACTCTTTCGATGAAACTTTCTTCCAAGAATGAAGGCGTTGGGACCTCATCAAATTCCAGCTTGGTAACTGGCAGGTGCACGTTAAAGGGAAACAGACAGGTGCTGCTTTTTGGCAATAATGAGAATAATGATGGGAAGTGAGAGCAGAGATCCAAGAGGAGACAGGTTGAAACAGGGTTCAATTAGCAGGGAAATTTAATGGAAATGGGCAAGACACCTTGACTTTATTTTCCATCAAAGCCAGCACAAAATGCTTCCCAGCTCTGCAGAGCAGGTGGACGCCAGTTGCCACCAGTGAACGCTGTATTACCCCCAGGACAACTTACAGCAGCTCTCACACAGAATTCCACTTAACTGATGCCACTTCCAACCCCAAGAAGAAGCCTGGTTGGGAGAGAGCTGATGCACCTGGGATGCAGTAGGTGGGGCAGAGAAGTGCGGGGAGTAACAGGTGTTTCCTGTCCCAGGTAACAGAGGTCCAGCGACTGTTCTTCAGGACTGAATGGTAAATGCCAGTACTGTGAGCTCACATGATTCTCCGGCAATGAACAGAGATAGCACTGGGTAGCAGAGTAGCTCGTTTGTTCTTGGCCATCTCTGCGCTCTCCTTAGCACAGGATGGCCACTGAATTTCAAAATGAAAGTAGAAGTTGCTGAAAACATTTGGTTTCTGCTCCTGAATTACATCAAAATTGACAGGTCCTATGGGCTGCTTAGTTAAGAGTCTTTACTGTAGGCCTTAAGGTCTAAAAGGAGGTAGTTGTACTGAAGTGTGTGTGTGTGTGTGTGTGTGTGTGTGAGAGAGAGAGAGAGAGAGAGAGAGAGAGAGAGAGAGAGAGA